CTTAACCTTTTTCTCCTACTCGCCCAAGCCTATTGATTTAGCATATTAAACTCCTTTTAGATCCACTTTATTTTATGCCTTAAAATATACCTAGTGGACACTTCTAATGGATCATTTGATGTCATAGTCAAGATTACAACAAGAATGTACAACCAACTTACAATTCAGGTTTTTCATTGTCATGTAAGCTGAATTTCAAAAGACGGGGTTGCCCAATCAAAACCCTTCATTAGAACTAAAGCCAAACTACCTAAAGCCAAGGTTGATGTCTCCACTAGTTTCAAAAATAAATCTGATACTCAACCTAAACATACTTGTGATATTAAATGTTTTAAGTGTTAGGGGCTTAAGTATTATGCTTCAAAGTGTCCAAACAAGATAATAATAGTTACTAGAGACAATAGAGACATGTAGTTCAAAAGTGATAGATCTCCTTGTGAAGACATGCCACCATTAAAGGATTGTACTAATAAGGAGGTTGCATACCCGGTTAAGGGTGGGGTCTTGGTTATAAGGCATATAATTTAAGTTCAAGTTAAGGAGGATGATATTGATTAACAAAGGGGAAATATCTTATATTCATATTGCCATGTATAAAGCAATATGTGTAGTTTGATTATATATACTTGAAGTCGTGCTAATGTACCTATCACTACCTTTATTAATAAACTAAACTTATGTACTATTAAACATCATAGACCTTATAAATTGCAATAGTTGAATAATTATATTGAGATGAAAGTGACTAAGTAGGTCTTGGTTCTGTTTTTTATTAGGAAGTATGTTGATAAGGTTCCATATGATGTGATTACAATGTATGTAAATCACATCTTGTTGGGGAGATCATGATAGTTTGATAGAAAAGCAACACATGATGAGGTTATAGATAAATATATTATTGTAAAAGATAGTAAAACCATCCCTCATGTACCTTTTGCACCCAAATATGTGTATAATGATCAAATAAAATTGAAACTAGAACATGATGATGTGGGTAAAGAAAATCAAAGTGAGGAATAAGGTGAGAGAAGACCATCAAATTTGGCTAGAATCGAAAACAGTTCTCCCACTGCCTAAAAACCATTTGGTCAATAACTTAAACCATTTAACCATTTTTAAAACAAATCCAAATCTAGTCAAGAGTGGAGGTAAGATTTGAGGAGTGAAGAAAGTAAGTGAGCGAACTGTGAATTTTATGGAAAAACTAAATAAACAACCTGATTTTTCCATTAATCAAACCAACTGATAATCCTACTTGTTTTCAAAAAAGTATATTTTATTACTAACGAACTTGATCCTTCCATTCTTAATATTGCTATATCTTTGTTATGGGATTTTGAGGATGATATAAGACGATCAAATTCAGATTTTTGCTTAAATTTATTATGTTGTGTAACTTTAGACCAACAAATATAATTCTTGATTTGATTGTTAGATTAAGCTAAAGTTTTTCCAGAAGTTTTCAAAGATCTTTTTTTTTTTATTCTAAGTTAAAATTTCAGGACAGTTAAATTTTTTTAGGGCTTTCTAATAAAGGTAGAAGTTATTGTTCATATTTTTCTATGTATTTCTTAATGAGATTTATAGTGGTTTTCCACTAATAAAGGATGCAATAAGTAATAATATGGTAAATGTTAGATTTGATGGAAATAAAAAAGCACTAGTGGTGAAAGCGTTTTTTGAAGAAGGTATGATAATATGTTAAGAAAAAGAATGAGAGGTATGCATTCTAAGTAAACAAAAGGTGAAAAAGGGTTGCCTTGGAACCAAAAAATTGAGGGTTGCCTGGGAACCAAAAAATTGAGTTTGGGTGCATATGTGCAAAAAGAGATTTCTTGGACGTAAGAAATCAAAGTTAGTGCTTGAAGGAGATGGTTCATTCAAATTCCTTGAAGGAGTCAATGTCAACAATGTGAATTTACAAGGTAAGTATATATTAATGCTATATTCAAAGTTTCTAATTTTTATTTGTTTGATGTTAGTGATGATTTGAGATTGAATGCTTTTGAGAAGAGAGAAGATGATGCGATCCTGATTATAACATCAAATGAGTCATTTGAAGTGTCTATTGGATCTATTCTAAGACCTAAAATGAAATGGATCCAAGAGAAGATCAATGAACTAAGTCAAGAGGTTTAAGTTAAAAAGGTTCATATTTGCCAGTCTGGACCTTTGTATACTTTTTAGGTCATATCTGAAGCTATATGAGAGTTTTGGATGTGATTTTAATTGGGTTGAAGGCCATACATCTTTACCTTCCCAGTGATAAATGGTAATTACGCTAATTCATCAAAACAAGAGAGAATAACGTGTTTATAGTTGAGTCTAAAATCTGTCAACAAAGTGTGAAAATAGGAAAGACATTGTTTCCTTAAAAATTATAGATTTCATTCACTATAAAAAGTCCTTGTTATTATTAAGAACTTATATGAAAACCTTTGAGTTACTTATTTTATAGGGATTCCATATCAAACATGAAGAATTAACTGGTCAGAAATTAATTTTTATTTTACAAGGCCACAAACTTTAGTTTAGCAAGGATTCTTCAACATTTATTTCTCTTAGGTATTTTTCACCATCATACGTGGTAAATGGTGAAAAATTAATTTTAGAATATTTTTTTATTTATTTTATTATTTCTAGATCTTATTTTAATTTAATTAGTTTAGGCTAAATTTAAATTGGGTTCATGTCTGACCATTTAGCATTAGGTTTTTTATTTTATTTTCTAGAGTATAAATACTCTTTATAAGAATAAAATATTAAAACTTGATAATACTATTGCTGCTTAATTTATTCAACTTGTGTGTGAGAGATTCTCATATTTTTTAGTTTCAAACAAACTAAATTGACTTATTGAAGATTAATTGGCTTCATGACGCTTTCTTTATACTTCTTATTCATAATTTGATATTAATAGGGTAAGGGTTTGTTTTTTGTTCACACTCTTATCAAACCTTGTTTATTTTTTTGAGATTCATTATCAATCTTGTAATGGGTTGTGTGACCAATGATCATAAAGTTCGTATGATAAGACCTCTCATTCCTAGATTTAAGGATGTTAGTGGGTATGCTTGTATTATATGCAATGATTTAGTTTTGAGTCATAGGAATGCAAACTTAACTACTGAGTTAGAGGTTAGATATACCTTTTAAATCAATTTTGATTTAATAACTGCAGTTAAGTAATGTTACATAAAGATTTTATTACAATACAAGGTGTAACTTTCAATTACAACTTATATGCAATTACATTATATGCATGAATCAACATGTCAATGGTATTTGTGTGAGGGATATCATAAAAATTCCAATTCATTTGAGATAGACAAATTAAAATAGCATTGCACAAGTATCAGTTCAGTGGTTATTCAATCCCACTATCATATTGACTTATATTTTATCGATAATGTGATTTTGATAATTGTTAGAGCTGATATAAGTACTAAAATTGCAACCATTTAATCTATTATATATAGTGATTTTTTGTATAATATCTCATACAAAAAAACATAGGTAGCTAAATAGAAAGTATTGGAGTAGATGTTCAGTTCACATGAGAAGTCCTTTTAAATGTTGTTTAGAGTTCTATTAGTTCCTAAGGAATCAAATCCAAGGGCAATTGTCGAGCGAGATCACAAATTAAATTCATAATGGTAATAAAGCAATATTTAGGAGAGTATTTTAAGCATTTAGGGTGTAATTCAGGGGTTTCAATACTGTCTTCTATTGATAAGTGTTGATTACATTCACTTTTATATGAATTATAAGGTAAATGTGTTGATTGGATTTGTTTATAACAAGAATAATGGGGTTTTTTTCCCTATTGTGTCATGCTTTGGTCAAAGAAGAGATGAACAATAACTAGACATGGTTATTAGATTTGCTTAGCCAACATGTCATTAGTGGTTGTATCGGATTGTCCACGATATTAGATAGACATGCAATAATTAAGAATGTTATGACACGAATATGGTTTAAACCCATTAATTGTCATTATTATTGTTTGTGATATTTTATTAGTAACTTCAACAACAAGTTCAAAGTTGTGGCTTTGAAGAAAATGTTGAAAAAGATGTGTAACTAACCTTTTAAAAGGAAGTTTGATATATTTTATGCTGATATGATTGAGATAGATGAAAAAAAAGAAAAATGGCTAAAAATTGAACCTAAAAAAATATGAACATTCTTTAATGATTATTAATAGCTATGACAACAACTATTTTAGAGATTTTTAGTATGAAAGGTTTTCTTTGCTTGCCCATAATGGTTATATTGCAAATGACCTTTTATAAGTCAAACAAATATTTGTTGAATGAATAATCAAGGTTGAAGATTTTATAAGAAGTGGTGTAGTGACATTCTCAAGTAATTAATAAAGTAACTTCTAATGCAAAAAAATAAAAAAAATATTTTCAAAGCTTATTTAATCTCGAAATTAGCTTATTTCAAGTTGAGACTACCCTTATATTAGTAGTTAAAAAAAATATAAAAAATAATTAATTTTTATAAATAAAGTTCAACTTTGATAAATAACAACTATATCATCAATTATTTTATATCATTTCTCATTGCATGTTGTACCTAGCAAATACTAGAATTTGAATAATTTGTGAAACTTTTATTTTGTAAATAGCTTTTGTATGCATGTATGTATGAGTAGCGCCACCCATCAAACTGAATTATATTTTGTATATTTTTTCCTGCTGTACTATTTAAAAAATAAAACATCGATGTTGTTTATGTACTAGGAATAAGTCAAGAAGTCACAATACACTTAAAAAAGAAGAAAAAAGCGCAAAATGCTGGTTTGAAGTAATCCTCGGATTACTGGAATTAATTCGAAATTCAAACTCACCTTAAACTCTAACCACTTGGAAGTTAGGACTCTAATCCATTCCATCAAGTTTAACACTTGTAAGACTCCTAGTATTAACTCCTCTTTCCCAAGAAAGTATTATCTTAAAGCAACCGTTTTTCACGCACGTAGGGAAAAAAAAGGATTAAAATCCAAATCCCATACAATTTTAGAACCCTAATTAATTTCCTGCCTTGTTCCTTCTTTTCTATCCATATAATTAAAGACTAGTCTGCATGCATAGCATTCTTCTCTTTTTGTTACATTGCCTCTAGGTTTATATATTTTTATAGTTAAAAGTAAATCACAACAAATTGAAACCTCACCAAGAACAAGAGATTAACCACACAATGGCTCGCATTAGCAATGGCGTCTTTACATTTATAAACTCGTTGATCTTGATCCTAGGCCTTGTCTCTATCAGCGCTTCTGCTTATCTAATGATGCATCACTCTTCGTCCTTGTGTCAAAAAGCCCTACAACTCCCATTATTTATACTGGGTGTCTCTTTATTTGTGGTGTCATTGCTAGGGCTAATCGGATCACTCTGTGAGAAGACCTTTTGGATCAAGATTCATTCTTGCTTCAACTTTTTGTTGATTGTTGGGCTCGTATGTTTCACTGTTTTTGCATTCATTGTCACAAATAAGGGTGCAGGCAAGGCCTTGTCAAGGATAGGGTACAGGGAGTACAGGCTTGGAGATTACTCAAATTGGTTGAAGAATCACTTCGTGAATCAGAATAACTGGGATGAGATCAGGAGTTGTTTGATTGACGCTCATGTTTGCCAGAGTCTTGATAATCATTCTGATGTTAATCAGAAGGTTGCGGATTTTTACCAGACCAAATTGTCTCCTGTACAGGTATTATCACTTCTTTTTTTATCAATATTTTACATCTAGATATGAGATTCTAGAAACGATAATATTCCAACCCTTACCGTTTTGAGTTTGAATATTGTTTAGTTGGTACACATGATTTTCTTCTCTTTCGCTAGCAGCTGCTTGTAAATCTTGATTTCTGTAGAAACGTCCACTGTGTCTAATGCAACAATTCTTACGTTGGTAAAGACATCGTCGAGACTGTTGCATGCAAAACATAATTTGTTTGGATTTTTGATGTTTTTAGTCTGGTTGCTGCAAGCCCCCAGCAGACTGTGGATTCGAATATAAGAATGCAACATTCTGGATAGTGCCCGAGTCTGGCCCAGCAGTGCAAGACTCCGACTGTGCCACATGGAGCAATAACCAAAACAAGTATTGCTACGACTGCAATTCATGTAAAGGTGGATTTCTCGCCAACATTAAGAAAGAATGGAGGATTTTGGCCATCGTCCTCATCTTTATCACCGTTTTTCTCATCATCTTATACTCCCTTGGTTGCTGTGCCATCAGGAGCATCCATCAATCCCATTCCAAATACTCCAAATTCGGCCCTTAAGCTTCTTAGTCATTAGTCTAGTTTCTGACTAGATTTGTTTAAATTTGTTGGAATCTAGTGCAACGATTTATGCTGATAGCTTAAATTTTAACTAGTCCATGATGATGTAACTTGAATTATTCTTGTTAGGTGCATTACGCTTGACTTTCATTATTATGTATTCTGGATTCCTAGACTCAAATAATATTTTCTTCCTAATTTAGAAAAATATTTGTTATTTTTCTCATGAATTTCATCCAGGTGAATATCTTTGAACATCCTCGGCATTGCTTGCATTCTACATCTTCATGCAGCACACTAACCCTCAACTCTCTCCCTCTCTCATCTTCTCATCCACAGCAGAAGCCAAGACACCGCCCTCCACCACACCATTTCATCACCCATCTCAACTTCCTACCACACATCAGCAAAACTTACTTCTTCCGGGGCACAATTGTTACAATCAAGATGAGAATTTTATAACGCCTAGCTGATCAGGCAATTGTGTTTGTTTTATTGGAATCTAAGTTGTTCTGTAAAAAATTCCCTTCGATTTTCCAGGTCCACTGGACTTGTAGCTCTGGGATTTCATGATAATGAATTTGATCCAATAACTTTTCCACATTTTTTTAAGGGTATCTGAAAGCTTCACCAGCATAATGCACATTTCCAAGTTCCTTTTCAATGCGCAAAAGCTGCAAGCAAATTGAAACTCGCCAATAAAGTGATGAACATAGATTTGAACAAATGAATTAAACAGAAAATTTTTTTTTTTTTTCAGAAAGTAACAGGGAATAGACAATATTGCTGATCTAAGAAAGGTTTTAGAGACGCACAATATTCTTAGGAGAAGGATAAGAAAATAGTTAGCTTCTGAGTTCAGCGGAAAAGGCCGACCTGTGGACAAGGTTATTCTTTGTTGTATCCACTTGTGGGTTCTAACATTAAAATTTCAGTCCGTCAGGAATGTTTTATAAAGTAGGGTGCATTAGATCACCCAATCAAGCCAGATCTCAGAAAATGGCTCTAATTGTAATCAACTTGATCCAACTAGCTGTCTTTTCAGCCCTCTCCTGATACAAATGTGGACGTCTGCATGTGTGTGTGAGAGAGGTCTGTGTGTTATCTAGATTCTAGAGGTAGAAAAAGCATTATACTTGAAAATATGGATACTACATGCAAATGTTGAGAAGGCGTTGAAGAAATAAGAGAGACAAGAGGAGGCCGCATACAGCAATATTTGAAAGGGAAATGAACAGGTAAACTATAAGAAGTTGCAGTTTTTACCTGATTATACTTGGCCAACCGCCTCACTTCTGCAAGGAGCTCCGGTCTTAATCTGTGCATTAGAACATGTACATTCAATTCCATAAGATCAAGGAAAATGCAGTTCATCAGTTTATTTGCCCAAGTCTACGGAGTTGAGTCAACAAACCTGTCCATTGGCCAACCCAACAGACAGATCAGCTATGAGATTAACCTCAGTTTTACCACTACGGTGGCTGACCATCACACCCCAACTCGCAGCTTTGGAGTCGAATGCTGACCTAATGGATCCAGTCACTGTACCTATCTTGTTGACCTGCAAGTCAATAAATAAAGATTAGTTAATATAATTAGACAGTCAGTATGGAAGATATTTACTTCACGTTTCATTTTCAGAGAGCAGGATTAAAAAAAAAAAAAAAAAAACCCAGTTATGTTCATAGCTAAAGTCATGAGTTGTGTAAATTAACATATAGTTATGGATTGATATAATTTTTTTTTATTCAAGCTAATATTGTTTTGAATGTTGTTTTTAAAAGAACAAAAAGAGTTTATTTTTTATAAAAATTAAAAATAATCATATCTCATTAAAATTTTGATCAAGTCATTTAGATTGTGGTTTGACCTATTTTACCACATGATTTAACTGGTTTTACTATATAAATAATTCAAATCAAATCTAGCCCAATTGTAGACCTTGAGGTGGTGGGTTAACCTTCCAAGTCAAGTTTTTAAAATGATGATTTATTTTATTTTAAAAATATATTATTTTATATATACTAAAAAATTAATACATATTTTTTTAAATTAACCTTAAAATCTCATCAACTCTAAAAAATAAGAATAAACAAACTAACTCCCATATCAATTAAACTTTTTTTTTTGGATGTTAAACTCTAACCTTTTATTTTGCACTATTATTTATTAATATGATAAATCTACAACTTTTTATCTTTTCTTCTTTACAAGTTTACTATTTAAAATTTCTTATGAGATTTTTTATCATAAGTATTATAAAGAGGGAGCAATTGTTATAATCCAAATTTGAATTTTCCCCTAAATTATCCTTTTTCTTTTAAAATAAAAAATGAAAAGCGACAAAAGAGAAAAGAAAAGAAAGACTGGCAACTTGTCAAGAGTAGGCTAAGAAAGGTTTTAAATGCATGGAGGAACCAAGCTAGAATTTTAGACAAAGTAAAGAGCCTAATTGTATCTTATTGTACCCATGATTGAAATGTAATGTATAGTCAAGGTTAAACTAAATGATTATCGGATAAATCTATATAAAAATCAAGTCTAAAGACTTAATTAGACTTTTAATAACCCAATTTGATTTGATCATTGCCCAATTAAAGATCTAACAAGGTTTAATTTGGATCAAATTAAAAGAGTTAATTAAGGATTTAATTATGCTTTTAGTGGGTCAATATAATTTTATTAGCAACTTATTTGGTGAAAAAATGAGTTTGGAAGTTTAGGGTTTAATTAAGAAGATTGAAATTTCAAAGGACCATATTTAATTTTTCCAAGCTCAATTGAGTGAGATAAGACATCAAATTGCAAGAAAGTAAAAGTTTGAAGGTCAATTAAGAGTTAAATTGAAGAATTTTAAAACCAATAATTACTTTGTAAAAAAACAAAAAGTTTAAGGGTCCAACCAAATAATATTAGTGGTGAATTTCTAAGAAATCCAAAAGATTAGGGCTAATTGAGTTCTCCATTACAAAGTTCCAAAGATATACGAACCAAATTAAAAAATACCGTAATTTCACTATTTATTATCTTCTTCCTATTAAAACAAGAGAAAAAAATGACCAAGTGTCCACCTTTCAGTCCTAATTTCTCCATTACCTTTTCACCATACAATCCAGATCTTACGTAAAATTATATCCTAATATTTGTTTTTCACTTTAAGATGAATTCAAATCCTAATTGCACAAAAATCAATTGTATATTCTCTTCTAAAAACATTACCCAGTAGTGTTTTGCCTGTAAAAATAGTCTTGGTCCTCCCTTTGTTAATTGTAAAAAAGGAAAAAGTTTTGTGCTTAGCTTTAATAAATGACTAATATATATTTTTCAACATCAAGGGTCAAGATCCCAGTAACCTACAAGCAATAAAACCTCCTTGTTGTTTCTATAAAAGCCTGACATGACTAAAATATTGATGTCTTCTTCCAAGTACAAGAGTGTCGAAGTAATAAATAACTTGGCAAAACCGAGGTCGAACCACAGGGAGGTTAATTGTATAAATTATAGATAACAATAATACAATAACAACAATAACAACAACAATAGTAACAATAATAACAATAATAATTTAAAAAATAGTAGTAGTAGTAGTAGTAGTAGTAGTACTAAAAAGAAAAAGAAAAGGAAGAAGAAAAAGTTGATGAGAACTTTGAGATGAAAGATTAACGCAAGGATTAAACAATGAGAATAACAAATGTCAAGGTTAAAGGATCCACTAATGGTATGTCAAACAAGTATAATATAAACTCTTATTATTCAATTAGAAACAACACACAAAGGAGGTTCCAATCAGATTATAAATTGTTAACATTATTACATTAGTTATCTTATTTGATTAATGCTAATACTTGTAAATGTTGTTAGGCATTCATGATTATAACTTATGTTAACAACAAATCAAGTTCCTTTCATAACTTAGGTGTCGGTTATGCCATACAGTATGGGCTATGAAAATGCCAAGTATTTGTTGTACCAAATGTTATACAACATAAATCTAAATTAACCATTTAACAAGCAAAGTATTAAAAATGAACAAGATAATAAATACAAAACATGTTAGTAGTAAATATTATCGTTCATGTTAAGTTTACACTATACTTATTCTAATAGAGCCATTTGGACTTCTAGAACTCTAGATGTGGGCCAAACACTAAACAATATTTGGGCTATAGGACGAATTCAAACTTCTTCATTGTTGCTACAATTTGGACTTGAAAACGACCTTTTTAAAATCAGACCTCCATATGAAAGTTGTAGGCCTATATCTTACATTTTCATCCATATAAAGTAGACCTAAATTTGAGATCCAGAATTCCAGATATGACCCAATTACTGAACAATGTTCCAGTTTGGACTTCACTAGCATCTCTTTTTTAAGTTTGACCATCTCTTTGTCCTTTCAATTTCAATCCTTAAACTCATCAATTAGTCCTTTCATTTATATAATAGACTTGCATTTAAGATGAATATTTACTACAAATTAAAAGTATCTTATATTATTAGATATGTTATTATAAAACATGCTTTAGTTAAGGAGTTATTGATACTTCAAGTGCAAAATGATGATATAAAATCTTAATAAAAATACACTTTTAAGTACTAATCATTGAGCATAATGTAACTCGGTATGATGTTTGGGAGAAGCACAAATAAGGTTGATAATGGTTGTCAATTTTGAGAAAAATAACCAGATAGAAATCTCATTTCCAGCTGTTGCAACTAATGTTAGTTGTAGTCGATGAGCAAAGCAATGTACATAATATGCATAAGGACAATATATGAGAAATAGGGCTTGTAGTCCTTTCCAAGAGTCACGTATATTGCTAGCACCATCATACCTTTGACCTCGCATATTGAAAATATACTAGTTATATTGAGCGAGCACATCACAAATTTCTTTTTGAAGTATTGAAGAAGTATTATCTGAAACATTTATAATAGTAAAAAAAAGCTCTCGTACAAAACACTAAATATCAACAAATCTTAAAACAATAGCCATTTGTTCTTTATTTGATGCATCATTGGCTTTGTCAACCAAAATACAAAGCTTTGCATCTCTAACTTCTTCACAAATCTTTTTCCTCACTTTGTTCGTGAGAATATCCAAAATCTCTTTTTGAATAGTTGACGAGGCATACTTTGTATTTTTCAGAGCTTTTTCTAAAACAACATCATCAATGTCAACATTCAATTTGCTTATAAGTCTTATCATCTTCAAAAAATTACCTCGATTATTAGAACCTGAAGATTCATCATGACCTCTAAATGCACATGCTTGTAAGCTAAGCCATCGAACACTTTCAATTGTTGTCATAAGTCTCAACCAATTTTTCTGAACTTCTTCAACTGTTTGTGCATTCAACACTTTATCATTAAATCTTCACCATATTTTATAGCATTATTACGTGGTGAAGTGGGACTTCCCACATGCATCAAAAGTGCACATCTAACCCCATCATTTAACCCTCTTCTAACTTCTAAAGCCTTCAGTAGTGAATGTGAGATGACGAGACACTTTTTTTTCAAAGATAAAGCATGGAAAACAAAATACTGCATCCTTTGATGGAGAGTACTCTAGCTAAGGAAATTGATCAAACCAAGTGTATTGAAATTGACGATACTGTCTCCCTAATTCAGTCCTTGGATACTCTGCTAACTTAGATTGATATGGACTCATTTTGATATAAGTTCTTCTAACTTCATCTTGTTGATTAATAAGATGTTTACACACTGGAATTTGCAACCCAGGATCTCATTCAAGAGTATTAACATCAATTTCAACTCTTTAAGATTTGAAATTTGAGACATCAACATTGTAAGAAGAATGTCTTTTATTGATTGATGTTTGTTTGTTTGGTTTAAAGAATGAAAACATAGTTTTTCCTCTCTTGTTTCCTTGATTTTCCATTATAATTTATAACCTATTCAAACAAAATGAATTAGGGAAGTTAGGTGCAAGATGAAAAGATACTAATGCCATAATAAAATATTAAATGCAAAATATACAAGGATAAACTAGTTATACAAACTACTGGGAGATTTGGAGAACTTAATAACCATTAAATTACGAGTACTAGACTACTAGTATGTTAGCATGCATCAATTTTTAAGGTAACATCTATTATTTACTCCACTAACAATCTACTATAATGAATGTGAAATATTAAATTTAAAATAAAAAAGTCAAGGCTTGTAAATTACTTGATAATTTTACATTTTTACGACTCTTTGTATAGATTCTTCTTTAAAATCCAAGCTAAAATTATATATTGTTGAGAAGAAAAATAGCTAAAATCCCAAATTATTTGGAAGATATGTGAACTAATTAACTATTTATATTTAGATAGATTTGCTATAAAATATAAGCAATTGATTAGTATTGCAAGGGAAGATGGGTTGCTAATTAATTAGTGTTGCTAGGGAAAGTAAAGTGTGCGGTTCATGGCTGCTATTGCAAGGAAAAAAGGGATGCTAGGTTTGCTGTGTAAATATAGGGAAAGTGGAACATATGTTTGCTATGTAAAAATTAAAAGGAAAAGTGGCTTCTTAATTTTTTTTTTAACCCGGGCTACAGCCCTCCTCAACCTTGTAAAAGGCTCCGCCTATGATTGCAAGAGTTCGAGCAAAACACTCATTCACATATTTTCTTGTCTTTATGTGAAGAATTTCAAACTCCTTCTGAAAAGCTTGCAAGTGAGCATGGTTTACTCGTGTTGTGCCTCGATACTTTTGCTTCAATGAATCTCAAATGCTCTTTGCTAAATCCTTGTTAAGGATTGTCTCCAAGACTGAACGATATATTACTTGAAATAAATAGTTTTTTGTTTTTAAATCTTTCAACGTCTATTCTTCAATGCTCTTTCTCTGAGCATTTGTGAGACCTTCTTCTATTGTAAGAATCTCATTCTCTACCAAGCCCCAGTACTACTTAGAATGCAAGAAATTTTTCATGAGCATCGCCCAATGACTATAATACCCATCAAATGTTAGAAAAAAGTTAAAAACAAGTGTCTCTTATGAAGGATAAGCAAATTTGAAAGAAAGTATTTTGTCATTAAATTGAAAGGATGAGTTGGCTATTCATAGCCTTACAAGAAACTTGAAACACAAGTAGGGCAGCACACGTCAATAACAAACACTAGAGATGTGGTTACTAGCTAGAAAATAGATCAAATTAAACAAACTTCCCTGAACAATAGGGACTATTATCAAAAACAGTAAGTCTACTGTTAACAAGTCTAGCATTTTGCAAACACAAACACAAAGTAAAATTTGATCAAACGTTTTTATATGGGTTAATTTACCAAGTTGATACAAATGTAGTAAGGATCGATTTTGTGAGTTTTCTTTTCTCGTTATCTCATTGATTTTTATCTTCGTCTACAATTTATGTATGGTTAATTACCGTTTCGCTATTTTTTTTATTTGATTTAGATAAATAAATTTATAGAATTGAGATAAGTTTTTCTTTTATATTAAAGAGTTAAACGGATATAAATCAATATAATAAATCCATTTAACAAATTGGAGATAATTTTTTTTTTATTTTTTACCGAATTGTACTAACAACCTCTCAATTCTGCGAGAACCTGGTCCCCAGAGCACAGGCACTCAACTAGTTTTCCTATGTACAGCGAATGCCGGAAAATCTATCAATAAAAACCACTAAAATGACCCCATATAATATATAGTTTTGTATGTAGTCTTAAGATATAAAAACCATATTTTTTACTAATTAACTAAATTATTTTTTAACAAGCTAAGTTAAATAAATTACATTGAGACCGCACAATTTAATTTAAAAATCCAAGACAGATTAACAGTAAAGTCATTTAATAATAAAAATAATAACTATGTAACGTGAATGTTCTTTTTTAGAAAAAAAAAAAAAAGAAGAAGATTAAAGCCGCTCAAAAGCGCGGTACTTGACAGAATCTTCACCAGCCCCACCAAGAAACCAATCCAATTACCAGATGCTCGGCATATTAGGCAAAATGCCAACCCATAATTCATAACACACAGCTTTAAATAACCAAAACCAGAAGTTAATCCTCTCTTAAAAAAAAAAAATTAAAATAAAACTGAAACTGTAACCATTTACATAATAAACTCCATCCTTTTTGTTTTTCTTGGCTTTTTTCATATTTTTTTTCCCGTGTGTGTGTATAGAGACCGAGAGAGAGAAATCACACGCACAATATTTACCCTTCATTTTCAAAAGAAGGAAGGAATTATCCCACAAACATCGTAAAAATGGTTCGTGTAAGCAACACCATCTTGGCCATCTTCAACTGCATTACTTTACTAATAGGTCTGGTGATCATGGGTTTAGGCCTATATATCTTTGCAAGAGGCAGCGCCACAGGTTGTGATAAAGTTTTGCGAAACCCAATGATTATAGTGGGTGCAGTCATTACTGCAATATCATTGTTTGGGTTGATAGGCTCATGTTGCAGGGTCAACTTTGCTTTGACGCTTTACTTGATTCTCTTATTCTTGTTGCTTTTGTGCCTAATTGGTTTCACGGTTTTTGCCATTTTGGTCACAAATGAGAGCTTCGGCAGGGCCTTCTCGAAAACCAAGATCATGGATTTCCGTAACTGGTTGAGGGACAATCTTGGTGATGAAAATCATTGGAATGATATTAAGAGTTGTGCGCTTCAAACAAAGATATGCCATGAGAATAATCACAAGAAGCTCTCTGATATACAGGTTCTTTTCTAGGTTTTCTCGGTCATTTGAAATTCTAACACCTTCTTCTCCAAGCTCTTGTTTATTCAATGTCGACCATCTTGAATAACTCTTTAGGGTGGATGTTAAATTCTTCTTATGAACAACTTTCCACATTTTTCTGAATTTTCCTTGTCAAAGAATGAATGCAAATATGTTGGCCAGCCTGAGATACTTTTGATAGATCTTAGTTTTATGATCCAAGCATACACGAATACACACATACAAATATGTGTGTGTGTGTGTGTGTGTGTGTGGATGCTGAGAAATAAGTTGTCTCGGCAAGGAGTTTTGGCTGTCGAATTTGAATTAATTAGTGGAGAAGTTTTCTCATCAAAAATTAGGTTCAAATACCATTTATCCCACCTAAGAATAAAAACTATTTATGCAGTAGTCATTCAGTGCAATAATTTTAATAACAATGGTTGCCAAGTTTAAAGCATCCCCTCTTTTAAGGCATTAAATCGTGCGCTGTTCGTGCTAATTTTTTACTAATAAAACATTGCCTTTCTGCTTTCCTTTTTCCTCCCTTCCAGTCTGGATGTTGCCAGCCACCAGTTTCCTGCGGATTTGTATCAAGCAATGCGACGCTGTGGAATCGTCCTAAAACCAGCCCAGCTGTGAAATACAGTGGTGACTGCACAGCATGGAGCAACCATCAGGACACCCTTTGCTTCAACTGCGAGTCTTGCAAAGCTGCATATGTTGTCACTAGTAGGAAGAAATGGGGACAGTTGGCCATAGCCAACGCCTGTTTCGTTGCCTTCACTGTTATTTTCTATTCCATTGGTTGCTGTGCAAGAAGTAACAACCAAAAAGACAGCCACCACAGATACAGAGGTTATCCTTGAACCGACCATTCTATGAGCAAGATGGGGACTCAGAAATTACAAGGGCATGCATGTTTTCACCAGCTATTAGTTACTGGAGCTGTCCTTGTAATGTCATTTATGTACCTCCTATGACTTCAATAATCAAAACCGTGGTTTGTAACATATATTTGTTTACTGAAATATTATTATTCTTCATTAGTATAGCTATTAATTGTTGTTTTGTTTTGCTTCTGCCCATACGATTTCTTTTCCTTTATCAAGACTTGGTTAATTTGTCAAGTGAAAACAATATATTGAAATTGCATTTGCAGAAATCATGCAGTTTGAGAACGAAATACTATTGAGAAATGTTAGTGGTTAACAGGCATGTTATACAGCAAACGAGGGTCGCAAGGGACATCTTTACATGCTTTTAGTAAACGAAGGTGAAAAAATTCATCTCCTAGTTTATAATAAACGGTCCTTGAGAGTTTTCTAGGTAAAGAATAAAGAATTGATTATGTTAAAAAAAGATTAAGATTACTCTAAAATATTCTACCTAAAAAAAATTGTTTTGGATTTGTTTTTAATGATATAATAAAGATACCTATATATATATATATATATATATATATATATGGAAAGATATTGCCTAAACTAGTATATATGTATTTTGATCATTGTAAAAATGCAACTGCTAAATCTTACAGATAGTGATTTAGAATCTGGGCATGTCCAATCTTTACATTTTGAATATAGATATTGGACGAGGAAGATGGTTGAGGTATATTGGGGATTTGGTCCATTTTTTTATGTTATGTCTAAAACAAGCATGAAAGTCTCTTCTCACACATAAAGAACATAGGTGGGATCATGTTCATAACACAAAACATTATTCACCTATATTCATCAAGAATAAAAATTCATCTACACTTCATATGTCTTCTTCTTCTTCTTCTTCTTCTTCTTCTTCTTCTTCTTCTTCTCTCTCTCTCTCTCTATATATATATATAGAAAGATACATAATGCATTAGATTAAATAGAAGCTAAAATACAAAGATTAAATCAATATTTACCTCCACAAATCTTTTTTGTCTAAAAAACCTTATTGGAATTTATAATTCTCGTGCCAATTTTAAGTTACAAGGAAGATTTCAACCATATAAATTAATGGAAAACCAATAGTCACGTATAAAGTCGATTGGCTTATCTTTAATCCATCATTAAAAAAAAATCAATTTAAAATTTATAATATTTAGATTGATTTAATTCATGGAAAAAAAATCCATTGAAGTGCAAAAAAACAAAATATACATTAAACCAATAAACAAATAGACTTCCCTTAATATAATATCCAAGGAGCAACCTAAATAGAATTAAAAAACTCTGGGTGAACTTTGATTGCAAGGATTTAGACCAATCAACACTTTATAATTCAAAATCCACAAAAAAAAAATGCTAGTTTTTGCTCTTTTCTTATCTTTCTTTTTTGTCTCTTCTAAGTTTATGTACTATTGTATTTATATTATTAAGGTTCCTAGAAAAAAAAAACAAAAAGAATATGAAAAATACTATTTTGTAAGATTTTATTTTATCTCCTCATTGAATTAGGATATTTTTTTAAAGTTCTTTCAGTTTCAACATGTTTCTGTATTTATTTTTCCAATTTGAGCTTGATTTCCTATTAATTTTATATATGATCCAGACAAAGAAAAAACAATCAAATTTAGACTTTAATGTAAAATACATAACTATCTAATTTTACAAAAATAATCATACTTTTGAATTCAATCGTTAGATCAAGTTAAAATTTTATGTGAAGTATTCTAACATGTTGTCTTACCTTTAGTTAAAATTTCAAGTAAATCAGAGTTTTTAAAGATATAAAAATTCTAGTCAACAAATGTTATATGAATTTTATTATTTATTTTATTTTGATCTGTGAACTTTCTATTTTGCTAGAATTCTTTTTCTACAAGGAAGTGACAATTGGTTTTGGAAATTTTCTAGTCTTGTATTGATATTTAATGGATATAGTTTCCATGTGTGGTATGGACTCCATATTAAAGTGGAATCCTTAAGGTGTATAGAAACAAGTATTTATCCTTATGAAATAAGTTTCCAAGTCATCTAGAATAATTTACAAATAAAAAAACTAAAGAGAAGACAACTTTAAATTTGATTCTCTTATCTTATATGAAACTTCTAAAGGGCAACAAATCTAATCATATCGTATTTAGGATATTAAATTCATTATTATTATTATTATTATTATTATTATTATTATTATTATTATTATTTTCACAGGGGTGCGAGCACCGACGCGACGTCGTTCGGAGATGGTGGAGGCTCTTGATCATGCCTCTTGTGTGAGGTGTTATGTGTTGGAAAGGTTTTTGGATTTAATCATAAAATTATAATTAATGTTCAGGAGTCACCACCTAATATTATGGTTACTAGGAACCTATGGTCAGCGAGAGAGTCTGGGTAAGGACTAGTTGTGTAAGGAGAAGACGCATCACCCTCAGTGCACCATACCTAAGGTAAGCTGCATTGTTGTTTGATTTTTTTTTTTTTACTAAGTTAAATTTTTTATTCGTTGGTCTTTTCTAAAGTTCAAGATAGATCTCTTTTTATAAGAAAGTCTCAACCTTATTGGGTTAAATCTTAACCGTTCTAAAATATAAATTTTAGCATTGTATTTATTTACATCCTGTATCTTTAATATCTAAGAGCATACTTTATCGTGTAATTTTACACCCTACAAATATTAAAGTCTACATCTAAACCCTAAAAAAAATATTGAAAAAAAAAGTTTTTGATATTTTGGCCAAACCATAATAGAAGACCATATATTGGTTATGATATCTATTTGTTTTATTTTTAAAACGTGAGAAAGATGCAATTTTTTTATGAAAGTATGCTTGAAAAATATTTAGGATTTGGCCGTATACATGAAAACAAATTGTTTTTTTAAAGGAAAATTAATTTAAAAATTTTTGAGATTTTTTGGAAAATATTTTGAATTTTTTAAAATATTTTGGAAAAAATATGGTATTTTACTACCGAATTTGTATTTTATAGTGTAAATATATAACTCGATACTATGCAAAATTGGTAGAAAGTTTTTTGAGAAATTCATAATTTTTTTTGGACTTTTTTGTTTTATTTTTTTAATATAATATATATTATTTAATATTAAATATATGGGCTAGGCCGACCTAACTATATGGGCCGAGCCTAGTTGGGTTGGGTTGAAATCGTCCCAACAAAACTGAATCTTTTAAGGGGTGGGTCGGACTAACCCAACCATTTGGGTTGGGCTAGAATAGGTCCAGCCTACCTCAAAGCTAATTATTTGTAAAACATGAATAGTAATTCATGTTCTGCATGCACCCAGAATGCTTGCAAAATTTGATGTTGATGAAGGAATGGCTCATTTGACAAAGGAGTCTCGGTCGCGATCAAGAGGAATAGTGACCGGAACTAATCATGAGGGAAGGAAGAAGGATTTTATAGAGGTGAGAGAGAGGAAGAAATTGTGGCTATTTCAGATGTAGGGGTGGTTGACTAGTGGTTGGGCTAGCTACCTGTGGTGGAGCTGGTGGTTTAGAAACAAATGATGGCTCTGATTGGTGGCTAGAACGGTGGAGAGATTATTAGAACTTAAAAGTATATTTTTATCAAGGTTTTATATCATCATTATGCACTTGAAGTATCAATAACTCCTTAACTAAAGCATGTTTTATACTAACATATCTAATAATATAAGATACCTTTAATTTATGGTAAATTTTCATTTTAAATGCAGGCCTATAACATAAACGACAGAATTGATTGATGCGTATAACAATTGAAATTGAAAGGACAAAGAGATGGTCAAACTTAGAAAAGAGATGCCGATGCATTTCCAATCAGGACACTGTTCGGTAATTGGGTCATATCTAGAGCTATAGATCTTGGATTTAGGTATATTTTATAAGAATGGAAAGACATAGACCTACAACTTTCATATAGAGCCCAAGATTTAATAAGGCCATTTTCAAGTCCAAATTATAGCAATAGTGAATAAGTCTGAATCTATCCTCAAGCCCGAACACTGTTCAATGTTTGACCCATTTCTAGAGTTCTAAAAGTCCAAATGACCTTTGTTTTTTTCCCTAAAAAGTTGAAACAATTTCTTACAACTTTCATATTTTCAAGTGCTTCCAATTCTGATATTATCAATGATGTTTTAGGCAGACAAGAGAAGATAAGGATTGTCACCAAGTCAAGAGTTGG